CCTGCCCTGGACACTGCACCAACAGGGGGCGCTGCGTCAACGGCCAGTGTGTTTGCAAACAAGGATTCACAGGTGCAGACTGCTCCGAGACTTCCTGCCCTGGACACTGCACCAACAGGGGGCGCTGCGTCAACGGCCAGTGTGTTTGCAAACAAGGATTCACAGGTGCGGACTGCGCTGAAAAAACTTGCCGTAACAACTGCAGCGAACGCGGCAGGTGTGTCAACGGGAAGTGTGTTTGCAGCGTCGGCTTCTCTGGACCAGACTGCTCCGCTAAAAGTTGTTCCAATAACTGCAGCAACAGGGGGCGCTGCATCAAAGGCAAGTGTGTGTGCAGGCGGGGCTTCAAAGGGCAGGACTGCAGCCTGTGTGAGGACGGAATGACGGGGACGAACTGTGAGACAGGTGAGTAAAGGGGCGTGGCTGAGATCTCATCATGTGTGGTTTCATTTAGATTTGGTAACATTTGACGAGCAGAGGACAGAACGGGGACAGCTACGTGATCAACAATGTGAAGGACAACGTGAACAAGATGAACTTGTGTTGTTGTGCAGTTTGTTGTACGACCTCGTCCGTGGTTCTGCTCTCGTGTTCCCTCATGCTCCTCAGGTTCAGGCGACTTAATTCATAACTGAAATAACTTTTTCGGTGACTTCCAAAACTGTTCCAAGATGAAATACTACGGTTAACGATGTGTTTAGGGCGAAAGACATCGGTCGGACACAAGTCGTGGTTTGAGCTCTAGAATAATCGTGGTCAACAGACTCTGCTTCCTCCTTTCAGTAATAATTCACTGGAGGGTTTTACACTTGAATGTCTTCTTCTGTCATGTGTTTTTAATGGAGCATCACACTTCACATGTTTGGTTTATGACCCAGATGTTTGACTTCATTATAATAAAGTCATATAATAACTTCAGTGATGGAACACAGCAGAGTCTGTGATTCCTGCAGGACGCAGCTGATGAATGTGCTGTGAACCACGGCAGTAAGAACAGTTTGAATCTCAGTTATGTCATGTTCTCAACTTCTTTTTCAGGATTGAAGAAATGAACTTAACGTCATAATTCGCAGTGTCTACCTCCGGTTCTGTTTTCTTGTTGTTCTCGTTGCCGGGCTGTGTTCGTCTGGAGCCGCTTCAAGCTGCAGCGATTCCAGTGACGGAACCGTTTCATTAGCGCAGCAGCCGGATCCAAACCTCCAGCTCATAAAACACAGATCGCTGTGTAATGACTGAGGCTGACGCACAACAGACACCAGTGTGTGTCTGCGCGAGTGTTAAGTGTTTCACCAAATGTAACCGACCTCTGATTGGAGCCGAGGGAGGGATGTCCCAAAATCTGAGACGAGTTAGTGGACGATCGTTTCCATCCACATGTTTTCATTCACAAAGAGGATTCGAGACACTAGAAATAAAAAAAACATGGATGAAACACAAGATGATTTAGGTTGAAGATGGTTGAAATATTGAAAAAGATGAAAAGGATTATTCCTTCAGCCTCACTGAGTCCGGTGATGTCACTGAAAACCTTTATCCACAGAAACGGGTCCCAGATAAAAAGCTTGAATCCGTCATTTACTGGATGTGAAGACGTTTCTCAGACGCTGAATTCAACTGATCGTTCTTTTCCTCCAGTGCAAACAGAAAGTTGGTGTTTGTGGATTTGAAGTAAAATATCTGAGACTTTTACTTTAGTGTCATCATCAGGTGAAAGTTTGTTTGGACCAAATACCTGATGACTGAACAAAAACCTTTGAATTCAGGAGGAAGAGAGAGGTGGCGTGAGATCAGTGTGATGTGATGATGTTCACCACGTCTCCGTCTGCTGTGATAATGAAGCGCATGATGTCGGAGTTATAATAATAATTATATTCTGGAACATTATTACGTCAGCGTGTCAGTGATCCACTGAGCCGTGAAATGTTCAGCTGATTTTACGAGGAGCCGGTAAAATAAATCTGAGTTATTATCGAACACGAGGCTCTGCGTCACAACGAGCCACATGTTTCTGACTCCAGAGAACATCTGACTCCAACATCTGATGAACCAGAGGACGAGAACATACTTAGACTATATACTGTTATATTATTATACTATATACTTCTATAGAAACAACCAGTGGAGTCGCCCCCTGCTGGTCATTTCACACGATACAGGTTTCAGTCAATATTCTTAAATGTCATGATAATGAATCACTGTCTAAATGAATGTATCCATCTTCTCCGAACCCTGATGCATCATAACATCTGTGAATCCAGCTGCTGAACAAATGTCTCACCTTATTGGACATGCATGTAATTCTACATACATGTTAATATAAACACGTGTAACTGATGCTCACGTCCCTGTCTTTAGTGATGTCAGGTGTTTCCCAGCTGAGAACTCAGGACGTCACGGAGACGTCCGTCACTCTGCTCTGGACTCCGCCTGCTGTGCAGTACGACACCTACCACGTCAGCTTCAGCAGCGAGGTACCACACTTCACTTCACTCACTTCACCTCACGAACAAAGTCAGCTCATCGTTACGTTCAACTGATTCTTGTGGTAGAAGAAAAAACATCTGCAGCTTCGATCTGTGAAACCTCTTCGTATAAACATCTGTTGAGTCTGAAGTAAAAACCTCAAGTTTTTTATGTCGTAATCTCAAGTGGATGAAAACAAAATGTCAAACCCACACGGACACACACTCTTCATCTTCTGTTTAAAAATCTCTCTGAACATTCAACTCGATCCAGATTTTTAGTTTCACGTCAGTTTCCTTTAATTCTCTGGGTGTGTCGTTAGTGTCGAACACATCCTCCTGTTCTGACTCTTTTACTTTGGTTTCCTGCACAATGCAAAATGAAAGGTTGAGCTTTTAAAGAGGAAAATACAAAATAAGGTTTCAGCTTTGCTGTTGCTATGGTTACACCTGGTGGAGACTTGTGTAAACTGGTCTGGTTTTAGTTTGAAATCTCTGTGGTTGTGTTTTAGTGTGAACAGAAACTGAAACCAACCATCATGAAAATAATAAGACGAATAGTTTATCTGTTGTTTTGACGTGAATTCGAGAGGAAACATTAAAGTGAGACGATGAATTATTACATTTCTCATTGTAACCATAGAAACCAGTGAGGTCTTCATTCACAAACATGTGTGATTAATTAAAGCTACTGAAGAGAGAGAGAACAAAGAAAACACTTTTCAACCTCGCTCTCTCAATCAGTCAAAATCAAACCTGTCACCACACACACACACACACACACACACACGATAAGAGTGATCATCTCTCCCTGCAGTGACATCATCACGGGATTAAGCTTTAATGGGAGAGAGAGAGAGAAAGAGAGAGAGAGAAATGAAGGTGGGGGTAAAAGTGATGATGACAAATG